CAGAGCATCAGAGGAAATAAAGGCGGGGGGCTTGACCCGAGGGCTATTGCCAGGCCTGTGCAGGAACTCTTTGGCTAAGCGCCCAGGCAGAACGTTTGATGAGGTACTAGGGAGGTGTGCGAAATACATGAACGTCGAGGAAGCAGAGGCCGACTTCTCGCAGGCGGCTAAGACGATTAAAATAGACCCCCGAGATGAGAGAAAATAAAAGAGAGTTTCCTCGACTGGAGAAAGAAAGGGGTCCCCGCGAGCAGAAAGGGAGGGACGACCTAGAAGTTGGAGGCCGACTCATTACCACCCTCTGGCGGCTCCACAAGCTAGGATCCTGGAAGTTATGGAGAGGGAGATTCGTGACGATGTGGTAAGATGGCCCAAGACAAGGAATGACGGGCCGACGAGGCCTGAGAGCAACCTATACTGTCGATTCCACAAGGATTATGGACATAACACCGACGATTGCAGGCACCTCAAAGACGAGATAGAAAGATTGATAAAGGCCGGCCATTTGAAAGAGTTTATATACAAAGATCGAGAAAGGACAAGTCGAAGGAAAGAAAGGAGTAAGAGTCCTCGCAAGAGGACAAGGTCACCAGAAAAGGATGAGCTCCCCTTGAAAAGAGCAATAATTCACATGATCTTTGGTGGGCCGACTGACGGTGATTCAAACCGTGCAAGAAAAGCGTACTCCCGAGGAAAGCATGCCAAAGTCAAAGTACACAAAGTCGATGAGGGGGGGTCCGGTGATGAATTTTGGGCCGGCGGATGTAGGAGAGGTCGAGAGGCCTCACAATGATGCTCTAATGATAACCACCCAAGTATCGGGCTACGAGGTGCAAAGGGTTTTCGTCGATACTGGAAGCTCAGTAAATGTGATCTTTTATGACTGTCTCAAAAGGATGGATCTCGACATCGAATTGGCACCCTTGCACACATCTCTTTTTGGGTTCAACGGCTCGGAGGTCGCGCCCTTAGGAGAGACCACGCTTGCCGTCGTCCTAGGGGAAGGAGACTTGAGAAAGGTGAAGATGATAAGATTTGTGGTGGTCGATGTCGAATCGGCTTATAACGTGATCCTCGGGAGACCAGCACTGAACACTTTCCAAGCTGTGGTGTCAACTTACCATATGAAGTTGAAATTTCCAGTCGGAGATCGGGTGGGAGAAGCTCGAGGAGATCAAAAACTATCCAGAGCATGTTATCAGATAGCGGTAAAGACGAACCAACGAACGGAGGTAAAAGAAGGAAAGAAGTCGGGATAGAACGAAAAAAGGCCGAGGGGAAGTGATCTCGAACCACACGGAGAGCTGATGGAAATTCAGATCGGAGAAAGAGAGGACCAAACCACCAAAGTCGGGAAAGAATTGGAAGAAGAGTTAAGGAGACAGTTGGTGGAATTGTTGAAGGAATTTAGAGACATCTTTGCTTTCTCTCCAGAGGAATTAACAGGAATCAATCCGGAGGTCATGGAACACAAGCTCAATGTCGATCCCCTTAAAAAACCCGTCAAGCAACGACTCAGACATCATGGGGCTGGGATAGACAAAGCAATCGAGGTCGAGGTGGATAAGTTGCTAAAAGCCGGGAACATCAAAGAGATCCAATTCCCCGAATGGATATCCAACACTGTGATGGTGAGGAAAGCATTGAACAAATGGCGTATGTGTATCGACTTTCGCGACTTGAACTTGGCATGTCCCAAAGACCATTACCCTTTGCCGAGGATTGATCAACTAGTCGATTCCACGGCTGGTTGTGAACTGCTAAGCATGATGGATGCCTCCCAGAGATATCACCAAATCCCATTAGCCCCCGAGGATCAGAGCAAAGTTAGCTTCGTCACAAGCAAAGGGATGTATTGTTATGTCGTCATGCCCTTCGGGCTAAAAAATGCAGGGGCAACGTACCAGAGATTGATGGATCGAATGTTCAAGTCGCAGATTGGACGCAATATGGAGGTATATGTGGACGACATCCTGGTGAAAAGTAAGTCCTCGACTTCGCATGTAGAGGTTCTAAGAGAAGCTTTCAAAACACTAAGGGCATATGGGATGAAGTTGAACCCGAGCAAATGCGTTTTTGGAGTAAGGGCAGGACGATT